TGTGATTCAGCAGATTGTTAGGGCTGCTCTTGTTCTGGCCCTCATCTCAGAAGAGCAGATAGTGTGAGCTTTCTTATCTCCCAGGCTCTCCTCTGGGTCACCTTCTGGGGCTCATGTGCCCTGCCTTGATGGATTAAATGCAAATACTGGAGACAAATACTGAATTCAGCTACAGATAAAGAGGACTTTTTAATCTTAGTTTCTCTAAGTTTTAGCTACAGCCAGAGCATGATTAGGAAGGGCAGCTTTTTGGGTCTATGTGGATAAAAATTAGAAATGGGGGCTTTGTGATAGAAAAACCCAGGTGTCCCACAGCCAATAGGAGACACCCACTCTCTGGCCTGTTATCCCAGGCCACATAGACATGCTGCAGGTCACCACCAGGTCCTTCAAGCTCTCTGTGCCTCAGTTTCTCAGGAGGGTATGTGGAGAAAGTCTGTGTTACTTCTGTGAGGGGGTTGGTATTGTGGCAGCAGAAGTAGTGGAGGTGACAGCCAGAACAGTGATCAACCCTGGAGGACAATTTAGTCTGTTGAGTTTGAAACTAGAATTTATTTGGATGGAAGAACAGGGCCTAGGGAGCTGGAAGTGAAAACCAATGTAGAGGCCACTGGGAAAACTGCCAGGACTTGCCGCAGGGAGCTGGCACTGAAACCAGCTGTGCATCCGTAACGTTCCCCGATCCTGTCCGTCTGGTTCAGCAGGCAGCTTGCAGCGTAACCGCACGCTGTGTGCCAGGATGTTTGCTTTGCTGGCCTCCCTCCCCTTGAAGAGGCTGTAAACCGAGCAGGTTTTTTGGGACGGGGTGTTCCTGGTTGTAACCACATGGGACAGTGGGTTCCCTCAGATGGGTAGAGCTGCGGGTGGCCCCATCTCCATCTCCTAGTGTCTGCCATGCAGAAGATGAAACTTCTGCCCCAATGCTGGGGCAAGGAAGGATCTCCTGGGGTCTGTTCTTCCCGTGGTTGCTTGCAGCTGCTCTTGCAGTTTCTAACTCTCCCTGTGCTCCTGCTTCACAGGCCTCCTACCTCACATGGGGTGTCCTCCAGGAGCGTGTAATGACAAGAACGTACGGTGCCACCGAAACAGACCCTGGTGAGAAGTTCAAGGACTCCCAGTTCCTAGTGTTCATGAACCGCATCCTGGCCTTCACGGTGGCTGGTCTGTACTGCGCCCTGACCAAGCAGCCGCGCCACGGGGCTCCTATGTACAAATACTCCTTTGCCTCCCTCTCCAACATCCTCAGCAGCTGGTGCCAGTATGAGGCACTCAAATACGTCAGCTTCCCTACTCAAGTGCTGGCCAAGGCCTCCAAAGTGATCCCAGTGATGATGATGGGCAAACTGGTGTCGCGCAAGAGTTATGAGTACTGGGAGTACCTGACTGCTGCCCTCATCTCCGTGGGGGTCAGCATGTTCCTGCTCTCCAGTGCTCCCAACAGGCACATGTCCACCGTCACCACTTTCTCAGGCGTAGTCCTCCTGGCCGGCTACATCATCTTCGACAGCTTCACCTCAAACTGGCAGGACGCCCTCTTCACCTACAAGATGTCTCCTGTGCAGATGATGTTTGGCGTCAACGTCTTCTCCTGCCTTTTCACGGTGGGCTCGCTCTTGGAGCAAGGTGCCTTGCTGGAGTCGTTACGCTTCATGGCCCGCCACTCAGAGTTCATGGCCCACGCCGTGCTGCTCTCCGTGTGCTCTGCCTGCGGCCAGCTCTTCATCTTCTACACCATCAACCAGTTTGGGGCAGCCGTCTTCACCATCATAATGACACTCCGCCAGGCCTTCGCCATCCTCCTCTCCTGCCTCATCTATGGGCACACGGTCACTGTCATGGGTGGGCTGGGCGTAGCCGTTGTCTTCGTGGCCCTCTTCCTCCGTGTCTATGCCCGCAGCCGCATGAAGAAGCGCAGTAAGAAGCTCCCGCCAGGAGACACCCCTATACAAAAGGTCTAAGGAACTAGAGCCGTGGCATTTAAGCCATGCCTGCTGCCCTGCCTCCACTTGGGACTACTTGCTTAATTTCTCAGAACCCACTGAGGAGCAGGGTGGGGTATGGATAGGCTGGACCAGTGACTCACTTTTCCACCTGCTTTTCCTGGGGAAGGGGCTGGAACAAGCCCAGGGAATGCTCTGGGCTGCTGCAGCTCCAAACCTTTCCGTTTGCCTTAACAGGACAAAGACTTCTAGCCAAGGCACGGGGCTGGGGGCTCGCATCCTGGGGAAAACCAGTGTGGGGCTGCTGGTACTCCTGCCCCACTTCTGTCTTGTGGCTTCTCTCCAAAGTCACTGATGAACGAGTGAGCCCTTTTCCCTGGCACCGTCTTGCCTCTGGCTAACGCTCCTCCATTTCTGTCACTACTACAGAGCTCAGCAGGAAGAAGGGTCAAGCAAAACACTAGTTTTCTTTTTGAAGCACCTCCATATGAGGTAAGTCCCAAGCTGAGCCTGTCCCAAGGCAGGGGAGCTCTCAGCCCCCGTCCCAGGTGGTGCTCCAGGTAGGACAGGCAGAGCTAAGGGGAGGACTCCCAGCCTGTCCTACCCCAGGCCTGGGATCTGCTCCGGGAGGGTGCTCTGCAGTGAAAGCCAGGACCTCCAAGCTCATTTTTTATCAGTTCCTTGCCCCTGCTCTGAGACACTTTTCTTCACTCCCTTCAGCCCAGGCTGATTTTTATGCAGAGACTGAAGCTGGCCAGTACGGTTCCCAAGGCTTGCTGAGCTGTTTTAGTTTGCTTTTTGGTTACATACGCTGCTGTCAGGGGGCGAAGGCTGCGCTGCCCGCAAGCCCCAGCATCGCCTCGGGGGTGTCTCAATGCTGGTTTCTGGGCTTTGTAGTTGCCATTCAGAGAAGCACAAATAGCCCCTCTTCTTCCTGCCTGCTGGAGGCCCTGGCCACAGCTTTCCTGGGGCCTGGCCAGAGCCCCACTGTGCCTGGAGGGCTAAGAGATGGGGCAGAGCCCGCTTGCAGTGCCTTGTTCCCTGCTCCACGGGCAGCAGGGGATGGAGCGAGTGGGCACCTGCTCCCCAGGCAGCAGGAGATGGAGCAGTGAAAGCTGCTCTTCCCCAGGAACCTGGCTTTTACTGGGTAACCCTTTTCTCCTCAACACAACCTGACTGACAAGCCAGCAGGTTTTGGTACTTTTGAAAGGCAACTTTTTTTCTCTTTGTTTTATTAAATTAAAAATATGCTGCATATAGTGCCCTGAGGGTAAATATTATTTTAATTTTTTTTTTCATGTACTTGGAGGGAGGGAAGAGGCTTCCCAACCCTTCCTGTGTCCCTAGTCTCTCTAGGACAGCAAAACTGTCTTTTCTTTCCAAATACAGGTGGTTCTGCCTTTGCCCAGGCAGGTTATCAGCCAGGGCTGGACCCAAAGTTCCAAGGCCTGATGCTTGCACACACAACTGAGAATCACAGCCAAGTTTGGACCGCTGGTGGGCAGGTGAAGGAGTTGTTGGCCTGATTCTGGTTTGGCTCCTGGGTTCCCTGTGTGGACAGCCCCACTGGGTGTAGCTACAGCCTGCAGAGCTAGAGAGATGGTGCAGAGGCCTGCTGAGCACCTGCCAGCCAAGCAACCAGTACAAAGCCCTGGAAGAGCCCATCCTTTAAGGGGTGTATCTGCACCAAGACCAGCTCTGTAGGCCCCACACCAGAGCAGACTTGGGCTATGGATGGTACATCCTACTGGTACCTACAGGAGGCCCGGTGAAAAACCTTTTCTGTAGGCATAAGTAATTGTGGTGAGGTGTGGGGTCAGAGACAGGACTTAGCCTAACAGAGCTACAGAAAGGGGAGACTTGGGTGAGAGCTACAAGAGAATCAGAGGAGGAGACCAGGGACAGGAGCTTATCACAGTGCTCAGTTAGGTGAGCCAGCAGGGAAAACAGAGCTGCTGCTGAGCACAGCCCAGGCTAATGAGCACTTGGCTCTTAAGCAGTCTTACCTGTGCTCCGTTTCCTAGCTCTCGAAAGTGCCTGTGCCCTTTATCCTGCCCCTACAAATTTACCCCCAAATGTCTGCCTCCACCATCTGCCAACAGACTGAAAATGGAATGGGTATTTTTTTCCTTTGGTCAAAAAAAATAGGTTGTCTGCCAGCTTAGGAATGGGCTACCTTTATCTAATTTAAATGCAGATTTTTAAAAAAATTAGTGAAAAAAAAAAAGCAAAACATTCTAAGTTAAAAAGAAAATTTGATGTTATTATTTGGCAAAACCTTCCTATAAAGAGAAAAATCTTACTTTTAAAGAATTCTATTGTCTGAGGGAAAAAAAACAAGCAACCCACCCTGAAGGCATTTGCTAGCTCAGCTTCTGAACTGGCCTGGCAGCCTGCACCCAAACAGCTGCCACGCTGGCAGCACAGTGCCCTGCAGTGCCCTGGTGTGCAGCGAGGGACTCCAGCAGGTCCTCCTGCCTCCCTCCCTGCTGAAGATGGACACCGGCTAAAGCCCACTCCATTTTGTGCTCATGGCTGCTGACAAGCAGCGAGAGAACTTGATGCTGGTGTCACTTTCCCCTGACAAACCTCAGGGGCCATTGTGGCTGGAGGTGACAACCCTCGCTCACGGGGTGTCAGCTCAGTGCAAAGGGCAGATGAATCAGAGGTGATGCCCCAGGCTTGTCCCCCTCCCCGGGACACAGGCAAAAGCTGGGGGTGGCCAGATACTGCCAACCCCCCAGGGCTGCAGAAGCCCAGAAAGGGCAGGCTGGAGGTGGGAGGAAAGGAGAAGTCTATAAACACAGAACAAGAGGAGTTTGTCATAAGAGCTGAAGGGAGGCAGCTGGAGTACAGTCCCCAGCTGTCATCCCACCCCCTGCTCTGCACTGCAAGGGGACAGGCAGATGGCTTCTGCCTGGAGGGACACTGGGTCCAGCCAGCAGCAGGCAGGGCTCTGAAAACCAGTCAGGGCAGGGAAGAGACCAGCCCCAATACCCCCGGGGCACAGGCTGAGAGCCTTTCCTGTGTGGTAGGCATAAAACACAAGGGACCCCGCTGTGTAAACCACATTCTTTGATACTTTAATTCCAGTAGAACAAAACAACAGAAAAATAATCAAACAAAAAATAACTAAGCCAACCGAAATACAATATCCTACCCTGGGGGCTGGGGGAGGCAGCAGCTCAGAGGAAGGGTTCTCTCCACCCCAGTGGAACAAGAGCAGTTTGATGTCTACTGGGAATGTGGGGGACGCCGTGGAGGGCAGAGAGGGGAAGCCTGATGCCTCCTCACCTCCACTCCCCATCAGCTGTTCCTACACAATCAGAAAGACACGGAACAGACAGGCCTCGGGCTGCCTGAATCACTCACTACTGACAAACAGGGAATCACGCCCTCCCGCACTCTGCCAAAAACAATCAAGCAAATCCAAAAAAACTGACACTGCTAAGGAGTCAGTAGCAGCGGGTGGGAGCAGACCTCCTTCTAAGCAGACATGAGGTAGGGCAAAGGCTTCCTCCTACTTTAGTCTACCTCTTCCATGCGGGATGCATCTTCATCTCCCTCCAGGGGGGGGATGTCATCACGGACAGCTGCACTGGGCTCCTCTGCAGTCACCTCGTCTTCATCAATGCCTGGGAGAGGGGAGGAAAGAAGAGATGAAGCCTCCAAGTGATCCCAGAGGAACAGCCTCTCTAAGAACAAAGGCTGGCTCCTGCTGACACAGCCAGAAGGACCGGGTTATTGGCATCCAGTAGTTATACCAAGCCACAACACTTCTTCATTTACATTTTTGCCTAAAAAGCCCAGTTTGGAGAAATAAGTTGGGTGCAAGCACAAACTGTTTCACCAGATGGGTTCACATCTCCCATGGCAGACTTTTGACATTCACTATGAAGAACTGAAAAGTCTCAGCTTGTCATCTGAGCAGCCTGGGGGTGGTTCCCAGCCTCGTGGAGGACATGACAGTCCACTCATCGAGGCCCGTGCCCTCCCACAGTACCCTGTTCCAGGTTTCCACTTGCCCCTCAGCCACCTTATGTACACAGCCAGTTCTGCACAACATACCAGCACGGCTCCCTTACTGGTCTGCCCTTGCTCCAAGACAATTAGACCCTAGCCTGCTCAGCTAACCTGCTTTCAGAGCCTGCTCCAGGCCTGAGACACTGCATGGACACTTACCAAGGCCCAGTTTGATCATCCTATAGATGCGGTTGGAGTGTGTCTGAGGATCTTCCAGGGAGAAACCAGAGGACAGCACAGCAGTTTCAAAGAGCAGCACCACCAGGTCTTTGACAGCTTTGTCATTCTTGTCAGCATCAGCCTTCTGGCGGAGGGTTTCCACAATTGGGTGGTCAGGGTTGATCTCCAGGTGCTTCTTGGCCATCATGTAGCCCATGGTAGAGTTGTCCCGCAATGCCTGAGCCTTCATGATGCGCTCCATGTTGGCTGTCCATCCATAGGTGCTGGTGACGATGCAGCAGGGAGATGAGACCAACCGGTTTGAGATAGTTACCTGCCAACATAGCCAAGGGTTAGCTGAGCAAGGTCCCCATCTGCCTTGGACTGGGCTCAGCCACAGCACACATGATACCCCAGGTCTTTTCCTCAGGTTTGCTTGGGAACACGCCCAAAGCAAGCAGAGATCCTTCAAGCAGCTCCAGGACTGCTGCACAGACCAGTTTGGACAGCTCAGCCAGCACCTTCAGCACCCACTGCACATCTCCCACACTTACCCCCTCCCATCAATGCACGTATTTGGGTCAGTGCCCCTCACCTGCAGCCTGGCTGCTTAGAGCAAGATGGTGCCGTGCATGCTGGGACCTCCAGTCTCCTTTAGCGGCTCCTCTGCAGGAGATGAGGGAGATCAGAGGCATGCATTGAGCTGGGGCCCTTGCCTGCATCATGGAGGGCCCAGACTCCTCCCTCCAGCCCAGGACACAGCCCTGGTCTGAGCTCCTTGCCCATCTCACCTTCTCCACCTTCTTGTCCAGGATCTCCTTCATGAGTTTGCAGAGGGTCTCAAACTTGGCCTTGCTCTCCTCCATCTTCTTTTTCTCCTCCTCATCTTCAGGCAGCTCCAGCCCCTCCTTGGTGACCGACACCAGGGTCTTTCCATCAAACTCCTTGAGCTGCTGCACGCAATACTCGTCAATGGGCTCCGTCATGTACACCACCTCAAAGCCACGCTTCCGCACACGCTCCACAAAGGCTGAGTTGGCAACCTGCTCTCTACTCTCCCCTGAGTGCAGAAACGAGATGTCACCAGGAGGTAAGAGCACGTGAGGACAAACAGCACCAGTCTCTCAGAGCCCCTAGCATAAAACTGTCTGCAGCCAGGGCTCTAGACCTGGTGGTCTTTCCCCAGCTCCCAGAGATGGGCTGTAACTCAGCAGGGAGAGCCTGCTGAAGGCAGCAGGCCCTACCTGGAGTAATTTGCTGTAAGTTAGGGCTGGTAGGCAGGTAACCTGCCTCCACCTCACTAGGGCACAGCGGAGCTCTGGCTCACCTGTGATGTAGTAGATACTCTTCTGGGTCTCCTTCATACGGGACACATACTCTGAAAGTGAAGTCACCTCATCGCCTGACTGGGACGTGTGGTAACGCAGCAGCTCCGAAAGGCGCTTTCGGTTGGTTGAGTCCTCATGGATGCCCAGCTGGGGGCAGAAGAGATGCATGAAGCCTCCAGGACAGGACTTGCATGCACTTGGCCACCCTCAAGGCAAAGCCACCTCTGCCCATCTCCTAACCATTTGAGTCCAGGACCGAGGGCAGCCAGAGGGGCCAGCTGCCCACAAAGGCTCTTTGGGACACTTGAAAGATCCCCTCTACCCTAACACCCAGGCAAAGAAGACATGGCACGGGGACAAGCCTGCTCCTCAGGCAAGCGGGTCATGGGCTCCTCCCCCCTCCGGGTGCAGGGTACCCAGCTCACCTTCAGATTCTTGGAAAAGGCCTCATAAAATTTTTTGTAGTTCTCTTTGTCCTCTGCCAGCTCAGCAAAGAGTTCCAAGCATTTCTTCACAATGTTTTTGCGGATCACCTTCAGGATCTTGCTCTGCTGGAGCATCTCACGAGATATGTTCAGAGGCAGGTCCTCCGAGTCCACAACGCCCCGGATGAAGTCTGAGTGGTGGAAATGAAAACAGGAGTCACGTTACAAACTCTGAGCTTCATCACAGGAGCAAAAGTGCTAGGGAGCACTTTATACTGGGAGCTTTATACTGGGAGCAGGACCACAGGCTGTGGGGGTCCCAGCTCTGCACGGGGAGTCTAAGGCAGGGGGGCTCTTACTTAGGTACTCAGGGATGAGCTCGTCACAGCTGTCCATGATGAAGACACGCCTCACATACAGCTTAATGTTATTCTTCTTCTTCTTGTTCTCAAAGAGGTCAAAAGGGGCACGGCGTGGGATGAAGAGCAGGGCCCTGAACTCCAGCTGCCCTTCCACTGAGAAGTGCTGCAGAGCCAGGAAGGAAAAACAGATGCCGGAATGCTTCTCTTCTACCCCTTCCCCCAGGACCCACTGTGGCCAGGCTGAATTCCTCAGCACTGGGGCTGGTACAGCAGGGGGGCACAGCAGGGTCCCCAGCATCCAAGCAGCCTGCACTTCCCACTCCTCAGCCCCCTACGTGCCAGGGCTCTCCAGCATCCAGCAAGTCTGGATGGAGAAGTCAGGCTTCTCTGAAGCCCAGCACCCTCCCACCCTGCTTCTAGGCTGGCACTGCCAACCCCTCCACCTGCACAGGAATCACAGTGCAGGCTGGGGCACCACAAAGTGGCCCAGGAGCCCTCAGTGCCACTGAGGCACAACCATGTGGTGACTGTGGGCGGGGGTGGAAAGGGGCCCTCTGTCTCTTCCAGAGGTGGCCCAGCGCCCACCTTGACAGCCAGGTGGTCCTCCCAATCATTGGTGAGGCTTTTGTAGAACTCGCCATACTCCTCCTGGGTGATGTCATCAGGGTTGCGGGTCCAAATAGGCTTGGTCTTGTTCAGCTCCTCCTGGTCAATATACTTCTCCTTGATTTTCTTGGTCTTTTTCTTCTTGCCTTTGTCTCCCTCCTCCTCATCATCAGAGCCCACATCCTCGATTTTGGGTTTCTCCTCATCTTTGGATGCCGACTCTTCCTCCTCCTTCTCACCTTTCTCCTCCTCTGCCTCATCATCACTGATCTCTTTCTCACGCTCCTTCTCCAGCTGTGGAGAAAGGGACAAGCAAAAGTCAGGTTTAGCCCCAGGCAACGGTTATTAAGAATCCTTTTGGGTCAGATGCAAGAAACGTGTGCCCTCCAAGGCCTGACAAATGCAACATCTGGAACCAAGGATTCTTCTGAGGGCAACCAGCCCCCACAGTCCCTCCACAACTCATCCTACCAAAAGCTATATCTGAGAACAAGAAATAAGGGGCAGGAAACCCTCCTCCCTCCACTGCTGGTTTAGGTTACCTCCAGCTGTACAGATCAAAGGCAAAAACACGGCTGGATACCCACCACCTTCATCTCCAGTAAGCTACCAGCTCAAATCACCTCTGGCCACACAAGCTGGGACCACCACTGCTCAATACCCAGCAGCCAGGAGCTACTGAAGCGAACAGAAGAGACTGTACTCTGCTCTTTTCTGGGCTCCTGCTCCCAACACCACCCACACCTGCCTCCAGCTTTCCAGGGAGTCTCCCTTACGTACATAAAGCGTGATGGGGTAGCCAATGAACTGGGAGTGCTTCTTCACCACCTCTTTGACACGCCGCTCCTCCAAGTACTCTGTCTGGTCCTCCTTCAAATACAGGATCACTTTGGTGCCTCGTCCAATGGGCTCACCTACAACATCGGGAGAGAAACGTTAGAATTTCAAGGCATAGTGTTAAAAGGCAGAGAGCAACTAGGACCAGCTCCTCGACCCTAAACACTGCTTGACACCTAACAATAACAAGCATGACTGACCACGCAGCACAGCTCTAGGGAGCACCAGGGAAAGGGGTGCTTTGAAACACCCCCATGTGAGGCAAGTCCCAAGCTGAGCCTTCCCAACCAAACATTTAGGTTTTTTGTATGATACGTACCATGGTCAGTTCGGACAGTGAAGGAGCCCCCAGCTGATGACTCCCAAGCATACTGCTCATCATCATTGTGCTTGGTAATGACAACCACCTTCTCAGCCACTAGATATGCAGAATAGAAACCCACACCAAACTGCCCGATCATGGAGATGTCTGCGCCAGCCTGTGATAGCAGAGAGAGACTGATAGACCACTGAAGAGACAGGAGATGTCAACAACGTATTCACGGCAGCAAAAAAGTGGGTCAGGATACTGAGAAAACGAGGAAAGTGCCAACAGGCAGCCAGCCCTACCCTCAGCTCCTCCCTGCTGCTGGAAAGGTGGGGAAGCACACTTGGGTAGGCCAACAGCCCACACAGCAGAAAAGGCAGCAGGGTTATGGTTACACCCCAGTGAAAGCCTGTGGTGCACGCCCTAGGGAAGTCACACAGCTAAAAGGAACCCACCTGCAGGGCTTCCATGAAGGCTTTGGTACCTGACTTGGCAATAGTGCCCAAGTTGTTGATGAGGTCTGCTTTTGTCATCCCAATGCCAGTGTCCACCAGGGTGAGCGTGCGGTCCCGGGGGTTGGGGACTATGTCGATCTTGAGGTCTTTACCGCTGTCTAGCTTTGAGGGGTCAGTCAGGCTCTCATAGCGGATCTTATCCAGCGCCTAGGGGAGAGGGTAATGCTCACCACGGCCTCCCTCCTCAGCAGCCACCTCCCTCCCCCAGCATAAGCCTCACAGGTCACCCAGGCAGCGGCCTCTCCCTGGGCACCCCCGGCAGGACATCAGCCTCCTCCCCCCGAGCATCCCCCCGCCCTCTTCCCCGGCAGAGGAAGGAGACCACGGGCTCACGTCGGAGGCGTTGGAGATGAGCTCCCGCAGGAAGATCTCCTTGTTGGAGTAGAAGGTGTTGATGATGAGCGACATGAGCTGGGCGATCTCCGCCTGGAAGGCGAAGGTCTCCGCATCCTCTTCCCCATGCTGCACCTCCTCAGGCATCTATAAAAGCCAGCACAGGCCGTTCGCACCGGGGATGGGGGGAGAAACCAGGCCCTACCCGCCCGGGCCCGGCCCAGCACAGGACTCTTACCGTGTCGGATACAGCTACCGGCAAAAGAGTTCTAAGTCTCGCCGGCCGCCTTTTATAGGCACGGGAGCGCTCCGTCCACCGTCTCCTTCCGCCTTAAAACGGCCCGCGCTGAGCGGCGTGTGGGGCTCACCGGTGTTGCCTTTTAATGGCGGTGGTTATGGTGGATGGAGGAGAGTAGCCATTAGTCCCACATCACTGCCGGCCGGGGCTCCCCGCCGCCCCCTCGCCGCGGCGCCCAGAGGGACGCGGAGCGTCCC